TGCCTGGCGTGCTCTGGTCCATGGGGTCACGAAGAGTCGGACACGACTAAACGACTAAACAACAACAACAAAATTTACAAAGTGGAAATGATGCCTTAAGGCAGGGGCGATCAGCCTTTTTGAGCCTGTGGGGCGCCGTTTGCAAATTGGGGAAAACTGTCACGGGCAGCAAACACACACCACAGCCTGTCTTATTAGCTGCAACAGAATGGGTTGAACCTTACATCTAAGGCAATTGTTTGAGGGGTTCCTATTGTTCTGGGAGAGGAGAGGAGCCTCTGTCAACTCCAGCGGTAGTTCAGGTTCAGATAACGACCAAGAATTATCAGCTGAAGCAGCCACAGAGATGTGCGCTGGCGACAAGGGTGCAAAACGCAAATATGACTTATCTTATCTAAAGTTTGGTTTCATTAGTGCTGGGCCAGAAGATTAGCTGAAGCCACAAAATGTGCTTTATTCAGAGGCCCTGTCTGATGCTAGTATGAAACTGCTGATGCAACAATGAAACCATGACAAACACGAGATTTTTCCAGCTCTAACGTGACCAAATGAAACAAAAGAAGAAACGCCGTGGTGCATCTGCAAGCAGCACAACAGGACGCCTTCATCTGCCCCAGCTGCAGCAAAACATGTCTGAGAGCCAGTGTGGTATAGTGGTTAAGAGTGGTAGTCTCGTAATCTGGGGAACCGGGTTCGCTTCCCCGCTCCTCCACATGCAGCTGCTGGGTGACCTTGGGCCAGTCGCACTTCTTTGAAGTCTCTCAGCCCCACTCACCTTACAGAGTGTTTGTTGTGGGGGAGGAAGGGAAAGGAGATTGTTAGCCGCTTTGAGACTCCTGAAGGGGAGTGAAAGGCAGGATATCAAATCCAAACTCCTCCTCCTCCTCCTCTTCTTCTTCTTCTTCTTCTTCTTCTTCTTCTTCTTCTTCTTCTTCTTCTTTCCCCCATCGGTCTCTACGGCCACAGCAGGCGCTGTAAAATCTCCAGTGATTTGACTTGACATCCCTGAATGCGCACTCCTCCACTGTCTCCCCAGGCAGATGGATGCCAATAGCAAGAAGTCGCTTGTGAAAGGAACTGCAAGAAATCCTGCTGTAACGAAAGCAACTTTGCAAAAGCTAAGAAACCTCACACCACAGCTGATTTGGCCATATGTTGCAGGCATGGTGAAAGCAGTCTAAGGAGCTTGAGATGTGTGTCCTTCTTTCGAACAATGCAATCAGTCCCCAAATTTCTGGGATGTCAGACAATGTGAATGAACAGTTAATCAAAACGTTGAAAACCGATGTTGCAAATTTGCTCAGGCCTTACAATTTGTGTACATTTCGTTAATCCTGTCGTTGTGGTTATTGAGGAAGGCTTTTTTACTCAGCAAAGAGCTGACAAGGGGAGAAGAATTTGAAGGAGCTGGGTATGTTTAGCCTGGAAAAGTGGAGGCCGAGAGGAGATATGATAGCCATCTTCAAATATCTGAAGGGCTGTCACATGGAATATAATAATAATAATACCTCGGGTTAAGAACTTAATTCATTCTGGAGGTCTGTTCTTAACCTGAAACTGTTCTTAATCTGAGGTACCACTTTAGCCGCCACCGCGCGATTTCTGTTCTCATCCTGAAGCAAAGTTCTTAACCCGAGGTACTATTTCTGGGTTAGCAGAGTCTGAAGCGCCTGTAACTTGAAGCGTCTGTAACCCGAGGTACCACTGTATTATTATTATTATTACGACTACTACTACTATTATTGTTATTGTTATTATTATTATTATCAGTAGTAGTAGTATTTTTATCCAATTTCTTACCTACCCAAAAACAAGATCAGGTAAATTCAGAACCCCAAAATGAAAAAATAAATTTGGCTGAGGAGAATCAGACCCCTGTCCCTTTGCATGCAGGGATTTGGAGGCAGACACGCGAGGGCCCCTCAGGAGAAAAACTGGCGTGAAGAGAGTTTCCCAGATGAAGAGCAGTTTCGCAAACCTCTCAGCTCCGAGGGGTTTCATCACGGAATAATCCAATAACAGCCTGTTATGTTTCATTAGCATCAGCATGTGACTGTAAAGAATCCCATACAATTAAATTTGCAAGAGGAGGCAATTAATGCTCTTGGAACTACTATTTAGCTGTAATTTCTATTGCCTTTCTAATTCAGAAGACTCAAAACATGGGAGAGGGAGACGGCATTTAACTAGACACAGGGGGCCAATAGGAGAGGGGAAATTCTCGAGTTCTTAAATAGAGGAATCACATATTCCGTTGCTGCTCTAGAAGCCCATTTAGCATATGGTGCCGGGTGGCGCTGTGGGTTAAACCACAGAGCCTAGGGCTTGCCGATCAGAAGGTCGGCGGTTCGAATCCCCGCGACGGGGTGAGCTCCCGTTGCTCGGTCCCAGCTCCTGCCAACCTAGCAGTTCGAAAGCACACAGCAAGTAGATAAATAGGTACCACTCCGGCGGGAGTGTTTCCTTGTGCTGCTCTGGTTCGCCAGAAGCGGCTTAGTCATGCTGGCCACATGACCCAGAAGCTGTATGCCGGCTCCCTCAGCCAGTAAAGCAAGATGAGCACCGCAACCCCAGAGTCGTCTGCGACAGGACCCAACGGTCAGGGGTCCCTTTGCCTTTACCTATAGCTACCCGGCACAGCCCCAGGAGAGAAGCAAGAAAACTGAATGAATGAACCACCTAGCAGAGGATACCCGATACTCTAGGTGGGCCTCCCCAAAAACTCTTACCAAATGGTGATGTACAGGGGGCCCATAAAACCATACGAGTCATAAGGGACCCAAGAGTCATCTAGTCTAACCCCCTGCAATGTAGGAATCTCAGCTAAAGCACTCATGACAGATGGCCGTCCAATCTCTCTTCCAAAGCTCTCTCCAACATGCCTCTGAATGCATGTCGGTGGGCAAAGGTAAGCAGCGAGATTTGTCCTTCTTGCAAGTTTACTTTAAGCATCTTTTCCATCGCTGGGTTAGATGAGGGCTCTTCTTCCATTCTTGTCCAGCTTTTGACTAAAACCTGTCCAGATGTCACCAAGAATTCCAGAAGCCGGACATGAAAATGACAGCCCTGCCCATCCCTCTGTTGCTAGTATTTGAGAAAACATTGGGGTTCCATTGAGCTATAATGCTCAGCAGCATCTCTCAGTGGGCAGTCCACAAGAGAACTTCCGTACGGATATTCAGTAGAGTCGTAACTTGGTTGTTGAACTTAAATCCGTTCCGGGAGTTCGTTCGCGACTCCCGGAACCGTTCGAAAACCAAGGCGCGGCTTCTGATTGGCTGCAGGAGTTTCCTGCACTCAATCGGAAGCCGCATTGGATGTTCGGCTTCCAAAGAATGTTCGCAAACTGGAAGTCTCACTTCCGGGTTTGCGCCGTTTGGGAGCCAAAACGTACGAGGACCAAGGGCATTTGAGAACCAAGGTACCACTGTACCCATGATCTGGGGTGGATGATGGTCAAATTGTGTTCAAGCAGGAGGGAAAATGAGACATAAACAGACAAGACATCCTTTTGAATGACTTTATTAACAACAATCTGGTTTGCAACGCTTCGAGTAAAAAGTTTTCTTTTGCTCCGTTTTTGAATAAAAATTAAAATAGAACTCTGAATATAGATTTCCCCCATTATTTACATGAAATCATATATATATATATATATTATATATTTATTTATTTATATACAGAATACAATCTTGTACAGCAGAATTAACAACGTGCCTCGTTCTTTTGTGGACAGGAAGCATAAGGAGACAGGATTATTCCCATCTCTCTCTCTCTCACCGTCTCTCGGGATTTTCGCCTTCCAAAACACTCTCAACCTGGGCTGTTACACACGCCATACATTTAAAGCACATCCCCCCACCCATCGAAAAAATGCTGGGAACTGTAGTTTGACCCTCCACAGAGCTACAACTCCCAGCACCCTTAACTACAGTTCCAAGACTGCTTTGGGGGAAGTCGTGTGCTTTATAAATGCAAGGTGCGTAATGCAGCCTTGAAACTTCGATGCTGGCGTCGAACACTCGCATCCGATGATGGGAGGCTTCCATCCTCCTGCTAGTAACAAGAAAAATAACAGGGGCACGAACGGAAAAGTTTAATAATGCAAACGAATCCAATTCTTATGTTTTTCGTAGAGCGCTGGGAGGGACCCCACGGGGTCATTTAAACCAACCCCCTGTAATGAAGGAATCACAGCTAAAGAATCCCTGACTGATGGCCATCCAACCTCTGCTTTAAAATCTCCTCTGATGCAGGAGAGTCTACAGCTTCCCGAAGGAGCCCGTTCCAATTCAAACAGCGTCCGAGCCGGGAACAAGGGCTAAAAGCACACAGGCCCTTTAAAAAGCCTGGGATCCTTTTAAGGAGCTGCCTAAGAGTGAGCAAGGACTAGATTCAATGTGCCCAACTCTCCCATCCCTTCTAAAAGAGCTGCATGTTGGGATGTTGGCTTTTAAGAAAAAGTGATGCTGCTGTAGCCCACATGGCTACGCAGGTGTTCTGTTGGAGTGGAGCGAGCAGGCTGCCTGGGGCTGGAGGCAGGGCTGGAGAAAGGGGGGTGCGGTCCGTCCTGGGTGTCACCACTGAGGGGGGTGACAAAATGCGGGCGGCACTCATCGCGCGGTCTGCAGCGTGCCTGAGCCACGCATCTCCCCTGGGAGTGACACAGTGGCTTCGGCGCCTGAAAGCTCCGCGTTGCCCAAATGGTTCGCCTGCTCCCCCCCCCAGCTGTAGGGTGGCTAAGTGGGAGGAGGCAGACAGACTCTGGAGGCACCGGGGTGTATCCTGCCCCTATGGGCGGCTCGCCCCATGTGCCCAAGCAGCTTCCTCAGCCGCTGGCTGTAGGAGTCGGGGAAGCGGGTGTCCCTCAATGCTCTGCAGTGCAAAACGGTTTGTACGATTTGGACCTTTAACCTTGCACAGTGGTTGGAAACTAGGAATGGCCGGGCCCGTCCATTTCAGCTTCTCTCAATTTCTCTTTTTTCCAATCTCAAATTCGGCTCTCGCGCTTTTAACACACCAGCTGGTGATTTGAGTCCTCCTGAAAACTCCGTCCTGCCGACTTCTTCCCTATGCAGTTTAGCACACATTTTTTTGCAACGCAGCTTCCCCCGCCGTGAACCAGTTTTGTGAGCTTTCCTTCTCATTTATGCACACTTCAACTCAGCGCATGCGTTTCTGTACACAATTACTCGGCCAGGGAAATTGCACCGCAAGGATCAGGCCCAAATGACAGCCGCCCTGCCTTCAAGACCCCTCTTTCCCCTGTCAAGCGAAGTCATTCAAAATGGTGCTCTCGTGTGTGCTTTAGAATAGTGGATATTGGTTGCCGAGAACAGCAAATCAACACACAAAATAACCCCGGCGCTTACAGCGACGGAAAAGCAAGCTTGATTTGAGATAGCGAGAGTCATCCTCGTCATCTCATTTCTTTTCTGCCAGAGGTTCTCTACTGCAAAGTCCAGCCCTTGCGAGCTTACGCACATTCCTTTTCTATGCCGCAAATGTTCTAGGTAGGTATTTTTCTTCTTTTAGCTGTGCTATAGTGCAAAGGTGCCCAACACTGGGGAAAGCATGGCAGAACAACTCATGAAGCAGAATGGTACGCGTATGGTTTGGTATAAATCCATCACTAATGCAATCTTAATGAATCAGGGACAAGTTGCAGAATGCATCTGCAAAAACCACCCCCCAAAACGAACAAACAAAAAAAACCATCCATCTGGAGGGCTCCTCTGCCTATCACTCCGTATCTGACCCCTTTACCTGACTCTCTTTGAGGCTCATAATCTCTCATGGAGCCTAGAGCCTTGCAGCCCTTATTCAGCCCCACCCCAAAGCCCCAGCTGCAGGCCAGCCTACTCGTGAGCAAGCAGCCGGGCTGCCACCTTCTTCCCCACAATATATATTTTATCAGTGCTTCCGAATGAAAAGGGGTTCAGGGTCGGGAGAGCCAGGCACAACCTTGGAACGAAAGTCACGGGGACGGGAAAGTGGCAATCGGCGTGGTCAGTTGGCGTACTGGGCATAGAAAGCCAGTTTGACCCGCTCAATCTGGTGGCACAGCTTGATGGCGGGACCGAGTTTGAGGTCCATGCACTCCTGGACGGTTGGCAGGGTCAGCAAGAGGAGAGCTTGGCCATCAATGTCCTGCAGAAAGGAGAAGAAACATTCGTGATTTTTTGTTTTTTTAAATGTATGCCGCAATTTCAAAAAACTGTGGCACAGGAGCGTGCCAGTCAGTAATCACACCCTTCAAAGTTGGAGTTAAAGGCTGGGCTGGATGAATCCCAAGTCGGAATTAAGATTGCCGGAAGAAATATCAACAACCTCAGATACGCAGGTGACACAACCTTGATGGCAGAAAATGAGGGGGAATTAAAGAACCTTTTAATGAGGGTGAAAGAGGAGGGCGCAAAATATGGTCTGAAGCTCAACATCAAAAAAACTAAGATCATGGCCGCTGGTCCCATCACCTCCTGGCAAAAAGAAGGGGAAGAAATGGAGGCAGTGAGAGATTTTACTTTCTTGGGCTCCATGATCACTGCAGATGGTGACAGCAGCCACAAAATTAAAAGACGCCTGTTTCTTGGGAGAAAAGCGATGACAAACATAGACAGCATCTTAAAAAGCAGAGACATCACCTTGCCAACAAAGGTCCGTATAGTTAAACCTATGGTTTTCCCAGTAGTGATGTATAGAAGTGAAAGCTGGACCATAAAGAAGGCTGATCGCTGAAGAATGGATGCTTTTGAATGATGGTGCTGGAGGAGACTCTTGAGAGTCCCATGGACTGCAAGAAGATCAAACCTCTCCATTCTGAAGGAAATCAGCCCTGAGGGCTCACTGGAAGGACAGATCCTGAAGCTGAGGCTCCAAGACTTTGGCCACCTCATGAGAAGAGAAGACTCCCTGGAAAAGACCCTGAGGTTGGGAAAGATGGAGGGCACAAGGAGAAGGGGACGACAGAGGACGAGATGGCTGGACAGTGTTCTCGAAGCTACCAACATGAGTTTGACCAAACTGCAGGAGGCAGTGGAAGACAGGAGTGCCTGGCGTGCTCTGGTCCTTGGGGTCACGAAGAGTCGGACATGACTAAACAACAAAATTTATTAGCAGAAACGCATAGCAGCTCACTCCCAGCGGTGTTACTCCATGAAAATCGAGTTGCCGACACTGAAAGTCCCCTCCTCTCTCCAGGGCTATCCCCAGGCGATTGGAGACTATGCCTTTGTACAGCCAACCTCTCCTCCTCCCTTTTCATACCTCTTCTGGTTCTGGGAGCTGCCAGGGGGAGGGAGGAGAGCTTGTTGCAGCAGCAGGAGGCATCACAAGCAAAATGAGCGCATGAAGGCAAACCTGGGGGGTGGGAATTATGTTCAGTGGAAATTGCAACCTCAGACGATCTGGATTCAACTCTCAGCCCTGACACAGAAGAAGCGATAGAATGAAGAACGGCCCACCTGCTCCTGAAATATTTTGGCAAGAGGGGCACAGTCAGTCAGCTTGATGAACTTCACCACGTCTGTGACAGTCCATTCCAATGGGTTGCTCTCCAGCACAAGCTTCTGTTCCGGCTCTGGCTTCATCACCTAAGAGGGCAAATAAATATATAAAAATAGAATTGCAGAAATGGATGGGATCCTGTGGCTTATCTAACCCAGTCTCCTGCCATAACAACAACAAACAACAATTTATTATTTATACCCTGCCCATCTGGCTGGTACTTTGGGCGGCTTCCAACAAAACACTAAAATACAATAACCTATTCAACATAAAAAGCTTCCCTAAACAGGGCTGCCTTCAGATGTCTTTTGAATGTCAGATAGTCGTTTATCTCTTTGACATCTGATGGGAGGGCGTTCCACAGGGCAGGCGCCACTGCCGAGAAGGCCCTCTGCCTGGTTCCCTGTAACTTGGCTATTCGCAGCGAGGGAACTGCCAGAAGGCCCTTGGAGCTGGACCTCAATGTCCGGGCAGAATGATGGAGGTGGAGACGCTCCTTCAGGTATACTTGACCGAGGCCGTTTAGGGCTTTCAAGGTACCAACACTTTCAAGGTACCAACACTTTGAATTGTGCTCGGAAACATACTGGGAGCCAGTGTAGGTCTTTCAAGACCGGTGTTATATGGTCTCGGCGGCTGCTCCCAGTCACCAGTCTAGCTGCCGCATTCTGGATTAGTTGTAGTTTCCGGGTCACCTTCAAAGGTAGCCCCACGTAGAGCACATTGCAGGAGTTCCAGCAGGAGTCTTGTTGCAGTTATTAAACCGCTCCAGTAGCAACCGGAGCATGCCGGAAACATTGGTGACACGAGAAAGGGGTCCAAAACCTCACCTGTCTGAACCGAGCCCTTTTCTGCCCTTTGGCGCACAAGACAGCCAAGGTTTTCCGGGCTCGCCTGCTCCTCCCACTGCGAGCGACTCGGTCCAGGTCAGCACTGCTGCGTAGCCTCATTGTGCTCGCAGGCTTGGCTGCAGGCAGCTCGGCCGAGGAGACGTCTGTCTGGTCATCTTGTAGCTCTGGGCTGGTCTCTTCACTCCACGTCTCGTCGTCCAGGGCCTCAGGTTCCTCCTCGTCGCTTTCCTGAAGCGAGTTGGGTTTCCACAGGGGTCAAAGACACGAACGGCAATGAAACTGAGGTAATATGAACTGGGTGGATGGTGCTGTTCAAGCAGCCCTGAATTTGCAAGTTATCAGGACTGTATGTTTTTGTGGGGGAAAGAAGAAGCTGAGCGAAGGTTGATCCCCAAATAATACTTACTTCATAACAAATTTTATAATTGTTTTCATTCTTGGAATCCAATTAAAAGCCATTTGGACATGTAAGTGGTTTATAAATTAGATATTAAGTCACAAAGTGTGATAATTGCTCCGGTTTCTTATTTCCCCAACTTAAAGTCCAATTTGCCCATTTCCACTTATTCACGATAAAATTATGCACAAAAATAATCACATGCATTTTTGGTGCTGATTTCTCCAAATATACACATTTTTGTGTGTGCAATCATGGCCGATATATGCATTTCTTAAAGCTACCTCTTGCCTCTGCCAAATTTAATGTGGCTCTGTAGGCTGATTTAACTAATAAACACATTACCATGCACACTTTTTACTTGGATAAGTGCATTGCAATTTTTGGAGGTGTGTGAATTTTGCAGGGCAGTTTCGTTCCTGTCTGCTTACTGATTTAGGAACTGCAAATCTGGCAGGCTTGCAAAAGCTACCTTATCGGGGAAAGGCCCTAGCACTTTCCATGATATGCTAGCTTTCTACTAGCAGGGAGAAAGAGTTTAAAAGACAAAATGAGAAATCATTCCTGATATTGCACCTTACCCTCTTCCTCCTCAAGGCTCTATCAACTCACATTCCACTGACAATTTGCTTTTGAAAGGAATAAGATTTTTTAATCCAAAAATTCACCTCCGCGGATTCCGCTAGGTCTCTTATAGATGGCTGACTCTTCTTTTGTGCTGGAATGGGCTTCTGCATCTTCCTGCGCCTGGCTGGCTTGCCATATCTGCTCTCCGGTCTGCGGCTGTTGTTCTCTCCAACTGGAGCCTTGATGACTTTCCTCCTCTTTCCACAATAATAAGCTGGAGTGGAAGACGAACATCAAAAATACACCTGGTTAGTCGCCGAACTAACCTAAGCCTATGGAGCTAATCCAGGCAGCAACGGCAGAGGGATAACACTATAGTCTCATGATTTCGGGACATTCCTTAGCAGCTGACTGAGAGTAAGTGGCTGATCGGTGCTAAACAGCTCTTTAGTGCTAGGGATGTGCAAAAGGTTCAACTGTTCATTCCACTACAGTGGACGCTCGGGTTGCGAACGTGATCCATGCGGGAAGCACGTTCGCAATCCGCAGCACTGTGTCTGCACACGCGTGGGTTGCGATTCGGTGCTTCTGCGCATGCGCAAAGCGTGATTTAATGCTTCTGCGCATGCACAAACGCCGAAACCCGGAGGTAACCCGTTCCAGTACTTCTGGGTTCTGTGCAACCCGAAATCGCGCAACCCGAAGCACCTGTAACCCGAGGTATGACTGTATTTAGTCATCCTAACCTGTGTTCATTGTCACCTGTGGCCCTCCAGATGTTGTTCGTGATGGGAATCTGTCAGAGGATATATTATTTAATCATCTACAGAGGATGCAAATTAATTAATAAAGGGGGGTGGGGTGGCTGGTGCCTGTTATAAACAGGGCTTGCACATTCCAGAGTTTAAATCCCATCGTTGAGGCAGATTAAATGAGCGTAAGAATAGGTTATTAAACCTTCGTTCATTATGTTCCAGCTGCCTGAGGTGGCAGGCCCCCTTCCTAACCCTCATGCAATGAAACAGACCACACTCCGAAGTAAGTTTAAAAAGGCTGTACTTACTTAATCCGAGGTCACAGTCATGCGTTATTAGCCTTTGTGCAACAATAAGAAATGCAGGCAAATGTTCTTGGGTAGTGAAATATAGCAAAGGCAGCCTCAGACACATGTCTGAGGCAGAGAGCTAAGGTGAGGCATTTCTGCCTCTGTTGCTTGCAGAGTAAATAGAGTGAGCGAATGAGAGAGGCAGAGAGAGAGAAGGAACAGGAAACAAGCCTTCCTCCCTCTCAGGAGAAGAGGGGATGTGACATCACCGAACTTACTCTAGCAAATTAGAACTCTGTGACCTTAACCCCTTCATATACTAACTAGCATGGCTAGGTTTGATTGCAGATGTCCACAGCTGAACCTCGGCTCTCACCTGTCCCAGGCAACATGGCAGACAGTCAGGGATGTTGGGAGGGTTACATCTGAAGGGTCACAGGTTCCTCATACAGTGGTGCCTCGCAAGACGAAATTAATTCGTTCCGCAAGTTTTTTCGTCTAGCGAATTTTTCGTCTTGCGAAGCACGGTGTCGGGAAAGTTTTGGAAAAGCTTCAAAAATCACCAAAGTCTTCAAAAACCTCAAAAAAGGCTACCACACCATGTTCTATGAGTTGCTCCTCGAAGTCAAGTCGCAACTGTATTAACGGTGTTAAGAAAAAGGAAACAAACTTGCAAGACGTTTTCGTCTTGCAAAGCAAGTCCATAGGGAAATTAGTCTTGCAAAGCAGCTCAAAAAACGCAAAACCCTTTCGTCTAGCGAGTTTTTCGTCTTGCGAGGCATTTGTCTTGCGGGGCACCACTGTACCAGCTTAGCTTCTTCCCGCTCTTTGGCTCATTGCTGCTTTGCTCTGTTGACCTACCCAGATTCTCTCAACCACCCAATTAAATTCCCAGGGAGGCAAGGAGCAACATAGGAATCTGCCTTATCAGGGACCTGGGACCTTCTGCATGCAAAGCAGGTGTTCCACCAGTGAGCTAATGGTCAGCAAACAAGGTTTATTAGTGCTATTCTCACAGCGGAATTGGAGGCCGCATTCATTTCAACTTTTGGCCTGCTGGAGACATTTAAACATTCTCATCTTATAGATTTTAGGGAAAGGGGTCATATTTCCTCTTTCTGAACATGAAACGTTCCATCTGTCCCCAAAGATAACCTGGGCAAGTTGGCAGAAACCTTCCACGAGCCAATGCAGTTTCATCATACTCACTATATTTTGTTTTGGTGTGAACGGAGCAGTTTTCCGGGCAGGCTTCAGTAACTGGGATGGGGCTGAATAAATTCGGGCAGCATTCCAGCTTAGCGCAAACTCTCCGGCAGAAATCCAGGACTTGATCAGACGTGCGGACAATCTTGACTGTGGCCCTGTAGGTTTTGCCTCTGTACCTGTGCAGGTGGGTTGTTGCAACACGGCAAACGTTACACAGGTCACGGGCCCAGCTAGCTTGGCACCTGCCTACACTGGCTGGCAGCGACTCTCCAGGGTTCAATCTTTGGAATCAAACTTTGTGGGCAAGGGTACAGCATTTTGCAAGCAGCAACGGATCAGCTGGCTGCTGGAGGAGGCAAAGCCCGGTTGCTGCAAACCCCCTTATGGTCCAGCCATATCTATCTATCTATCTATCTATCTATCTATCTATCTATCTATCTATCTATCATCTATCTATCATCTATCTATTTGGAGCATTTACCTCCTCCTCTTCAGCCAAAAGGACTCCTAGAGCAGCTTAAATACAGTCAAAACAAGGCAGTCCCTACATGCAAGCTCACAATCTTAAAAATTAAAATAAAAAAAACCAAGGCACAAGGGGAAAATGACAGAGGCGGGAAGAGGAAAATCGAAATCTGACATCACACGTGACATCAGGTGAATATTGTTTAACCCCATAGGTGTCCATTCAACCCCTTAGAGAACTTGCCCTGTTACAAGTGCCACATAATATTCTGTATGTGGCAGAAATTGATCTTGCAGTGTGGCAGCACTCTCTGGAACTCCCTGCCTATGGAAATCAGACCGATGCCTTCGCTGGACTCTTTTCAGTGCCTCCTTAAAACATTTTTTGTTTAGGCAACCCTACCCAGACATGTGGAATGTTGACATGCGTTTTTATCTGCTTTTAGATTATTGCTGATTCTAATTTTTGAAGATTGGGTTGTTGTTTTTACTATGTGCAGGGGTTTTTTGTTTCTTGTTTACTGACCATTTGTTATATTATTTGTTCCAGAATGAAAGGCGGTATACAAATTTACTAAATAAATACATAAAATCTAAACAAGCTTGGTTTTATGAGCTGAAATCTCCAAAATGTAAACCTCGTGTGAGCCGAGTGTCGACTGTATACAAATGTTGTGAGACTGGGCGAACGATTCCTGCATTGCAGAGTGTTGCACTAGATAGCTCTGGTGGTCCCTTCCAATTCTATGCAATATATAGGGACGCGGGTGGCTCTGTGGGTTAAACCACAGAGCCTAGGACTTGCCAATCAGAAGGTCGGCGGTTTGAATCCCCGCGACGGGGGGAGCTCCCGTTGCTCGGTCCCTGCTCCTGCCAACCTAGCAGTTCAAAAGCACTTCAAGTGCAAGTTGATAAATAGGTACTGTTCCGGCGGGAAGGTAAACGGCGTTTCGTGTGCTGCTCTGGTTTGCCAGAAGTGGCTTGGTCATGCTGGCCACGTGACCCAGAAGCTGTACGCCGGCTCCCTCGGCCAATAAAGCGAAATGAGTGCTGCAACCCCAGAGTCGGCCATGACTGGACCTAATGGTCAGGGGTCCCTTTACCTTTATGCAATATATAATCAAGGGAAGTGGACACAGCTTTGCAACAAAGCAGCAAACAAGCAAACAAACAAACAGGTGCCTGAGCCAAATGGGGTGGGGTGGGGGCTGATTAAACTCGAGGGCTGAAGGTTCCCTACCACTGATTTTACAGCATGAAAGACTTCTCCGCCTGCTAGTAAAAAGACCGCTGGATTGAATGATGTCACCCTGGATATCCATATTATTAACAGCATAATCGTTGCTCCAACGAGACTTTCATTTCGCCAGCTACCTTTGAGCAATAAAAAAACCCAACCCCCCACATCAGAAGCTATTAGCCGGCGGCGCTGCAAGACTTTAAAGTTCACTGGGCTTTGCGTCAATTGTAGCATTAAGGATTCCACAAGTAAAATCCATTTTGCTTTTCTAATTAAATGTATTACAACCGACGCTAAAGGGGCAAGGATCAAAGATTTCCAAAGTAATGACCCACATAAGAGAACTTCGAAGGGGGGTGGGAACCCACCACCAAGCTTAGACAGCCAGAATGCCCAGATCGCCTTCTTCACAATAGGGATTTACAGCCAGACCTGCTAACTCATTGCGTGCACATCCAAAGTAATGATGCGCAGGATATAGAATTTCATGCAAAAGACAATTTATATGTTGTTTTTTTAAAAAAGCAAGTTCCCAGACCTTATGTTGGGGCAAACCAAAAAGGACACCACACTGGATAAAGCATTGATTAGAATAAATAGTGCCCAATAAACAGGAACACACAGTCTCCCAACAGTTAAGTAAAATATCTGTGCGAGGCGTGCTTATTTTCTGTTACTGTTTTTGACTGCCCTTCTGTGCAAACATGATATATAAAGTATATTTTTAAAAATCTAAAAAGTGACGTGGGCAGAGGTAAGCAAATGTCCGTGAACATGCCTGAAAAATGCATCTGTTTTACAGTGCAACCTCTGTTTTCAAGCATCTTGGAAGCTGAACAATTTGGAACCCAAATGCTGAAAACCCGGAAGTGAATGTTTCCGTTTTCGAAAGCGCCTCAGAAGTTGAACGGCTTCCGAGGCGCATTTCTCCACTGAAATTGCTGGCCGCCCATTGCGCCTCGGTTGTAGAATGTTTCAGAAGTCGAATGGTCTTCCGGAACGGATTACGTTCGAAAACCAAGGTTCCACTGTATTTCTGAATTCCAGAATTCCGTGTTCTGGAAATTCCAGAAATACTACTACTACTACTACTACTACTAATAATAATAATAATAATAATTTATTATTTGTAACCCGCCCATCTGGGTTTCCCCAACCATTCTGGGCGGCTTCCAACAAAGACACAAAATACACAAAAATGTCAAACATTAAAAACTTCCCTAAACAAGGCTGCCTTCAGATGTCTTCTAAAAGTCAGATAGTTGTTTATTTCCTTGGCATCTGATGGGAGGGAGTTCCACAGGGCGGGCGCCACTACCGAAAAGGCACTCTACCTGGTTCCCTGTAGCTTTGCTTCTCGCAATGAGGGAACCACCAGAAGGCCCTCAGCGCTGGACCTCAGCGTCTGGGCAGAACGATGGGAGTGGAGACACTCCTTTAGGTATACTGGGCCGAGGCCGTTTAGGGCTTTAAAGGTCAACACCAGCACTTTGAATTGTGCTCGGAAACTTACTGGGAGCTAATGTAGGTCTTTCAAGACCGGTGTTATGTGGTCCTGGTAGCTGCTCCCAGTCACCAGTCTAGCTGCAGCATTCTGGATTAGTTGTAGCTTCCACATAGAGCGCTTTGCAGTAGTCCAAGCGGGAGATAACCAGAGCATGCACCACTCTGGCGAGACGGTCTGAGGGCTACAACTAATGGAGCTGGTAAAAAGCTGCCCTGGATACAGAATTGACTTGCGCCTCCATGGACAGCTGTGAACCCAAAATGACTCCCAGGCTGCGCACTTGGTCCTTCAGGGGCACAGTTACCTCATTCAGGATAATGAATGGATAATGAATACAGTACAAATACACAATGCAAAACCAACCGGTGTAGATGGGAAGGACAGAAGAAGATTTTGTGGGGTATAAAACACTCATGGATGGGTGCAGTCACATACATAAATACCATTGAAGCTTCCTTTGGGGCTGAAACCCTGGTCTCCTGGGACCTAGTCCAACGCTCTAACTGCTATGTCACACTGCTCTCAATCCCACCCTTCTGCGGCCACACCAGGAATGGATTCCAAATGAGCGCCATTGAGGGAGGATGGAAGCAAACAGACTGGGCATCCTCTCCAGCCTCATCACAGCAGAAAAGCGGACCCTCATCGCTGCTCAACGCCACCCCCAAGTTTAAAAGGAGGAAGCGAAAGGATCCCTTACTTTGCTTTGAGGGTCTCCTCCTGGAAATTCCACCTGGGGTCTTCGACAAGCTGTAGCTCCCGCAATACACTCCCGGGTTTGTAAGCAGAGTTGATCACCATGCTCAGGACCTGCCCAAAGAGAGCAAAACAGAGGTTGGAGGATTGAGAGAGATCATAGCATTTGGGACTTCTTAGAATCATGGAAGGGACGCGGGTGGCGCTGTGGGTTAAACCACAGAGCCTACGACTTGCCGATCAGTAGGTTGGTGGTTCGAATCCCATTGCTCGGTCCCTGCTCCTGCCCACCTAGCAGTTCGAAAGCACGTCTAAGTGCAAGTAGATAAATAGGTATCGCTCCGGCGGGAAGGTAAACGGTGTTTCTGTGCGCTGCTCTGGTTCGCCAGAAGTGGCTTAGTCATGCTGCCACGTGACCTGGAAGCTGTACGCCGGCTCCCTCGGCCAATAAAGCGAACCCAAAGGTTCATATTGAGTTGGATATTTATACATGCCTTTTTAGACACATTTCATCCCCAAATACAATTCTTTTTAAATGAAGTTTTTGAGCCGAGAACAGTATTGCAAGATGACGGTTTCTAGACTGCCCTTCATTCGAGGATAGCAGGGTGGTTTACAATATAAAACCAGAAAAATGCATAACATAGTAATAAAACAAAAACATTAACACACACAAACATGAACCCCACACATTTTAAAAGGCCATGGATTATTTAATTAGCCGACGACCTGAGAGAAAAGTTTTTTTGAGAGCAATGCAGGGAAAATCATGTTGTTTCAGTCTAGGAGATACAAATTAATTTGGATAAAAAGGCCGGCCAAACGAAACACAGTTGTTGGAGCATGAGATTCTTTCTCTCAGGGTCGTGGGTTCGAGCCACAATGGGCAGACAGATTCCTGCATTGCAGGGGGTTGGACTAGATGACCCTCGTGGTCCCTTCCAATTCTATGAAATTCGCCCCCATCCCTTCAACACAACCCTCACCTCTTTAAGAACCAGCACGCACTTGCCCGGGCCAACAGACTGAGGCAGCTCGGCCAATCTTCCTTTGTTCAGGTGTGGTCCTGAGAAACAGCGGTGATTGATGAACAGTGCAGGGCAGCTGTATCTCCCATTGATGGTACCTGCAGAGAAGAAGCACATGGTCCAACATTCCTCCTGCATCCTCACTGAGCAACTTTTTCTCTCTTCTAGCTACCATTCGAGACCACATATTAATATCTGCAATACAGGTGATGGAGGGGGCAAATGTCTGCACCATTTTGAGGCCCTGTCTTCTTTTGCTGTTTCCCTGTCAGGTCAGATTTATTTAGCCATGAGTGCTAAATCTGAGGTGTGAGACAAAATTAAAATGATAATTACAGGAACATTTAATGGTGGTACAATGGTGACCATAATGGACAGGATTCATGTAAAGCACAGATGAAGAACATTGCTGCTTCCCAGATGCTATAAGACTACAACTCCCATTATCCCTTACCATTGGCTATGCTGGCAGGGGATAATGGGATCTGTAGTCCAACAATGTCTAAAAGGCCACAAGTTCTACAACCCTGCTGTAATTCCTTCCATGCCCACAAATGTAGCAGCACCCAGGAAACTCACCTATTGCGTCTGTCTGTGGAAGCATGCATGGCTCGTGAATTTTTTTCTCCACAGGCTCTCCGTGTGGTAACCTGATGGATGACAAAAACCTACATTTAAATTCTGTGAAACCTGAAGATGGATCAGGGCTGCCTGACGCAAGACATCATATTTATTCATTGCGGCCTCTCCACATTTCCAATGTTAAGGTTGCGAGTTATGTTCCCTTATGTTATTATTATTATTTATTTTATCTACACGGTGACAAACTGCACTTTCATAGCAAATCTAACAAGGCACTCTGTAACATAAAAAGTCAGCGCTACAATGACATCAGAAAAGACTGGTTTATGTTTTGTTTTTTAATCATGTTTCAAAGGCCTGTCTGCACAGTACCATTTTTAAAAAAGATGTCTTAAAGAAAGCAGGAACAAATCCCAGGAAGTTTCTAGTGGCCAGGAGTTCCGCACACTAAAAGCTTGGGTCCCTGGAACCCCAGAGAAACGGAGGACACCCCATCAACAGATCTCGGCAATCGAGGTGGAGGGTAAAGAATCAGGGAGCTGTAAAGGTATGTTGGGCTTAGTTGTTTAGGGAATTGTGAATTAACACAAGAGACTTAAACCTGCTCTGGTTGCCAAATGGTATACCACCCCACTTTCCCCACCAAGGAGAGTATCAGCAGGCTCAAGTCCCTGACACAAGGTGGGTAAAGGTAAAGGTAAAGGGACCCCTGACCATTAGGTCCAGTCGTGACCGACTCTGGGGCTGCGGCGCTCATCTCGCTTTACTGGCTGAGGGAGCCGGCGTGCAGCTTCCGGGTCATGTGGCCAGCATGACTAAGCCGCTTCTGGCGAACCAGAGCAGCGCACGGAAACACCGTTTACCTTCCCACCAGAGTGGTACCTATTTATCTACTTGCACTTTGAGGTGCTTTTGAACTGCTAGGTTGGCAGGAGCAGGGACCGAGCAATGGGAGCTCACCCTGTCGCGGGGATTCGAACCGCCGACCTTCTGATCGGCAAGCCCAAGAGGCTCAGTGGTTTAACCCACAGCGCCACCCGTGTCCCACAAGGTGGGTAGGGGGATCGAATTCTGCCCACCCACCACGCCTGCCTATTCAGACACAACCAATACATGAGGGTTTTTTTAAGACATCCCCTTAAGATCTGCAGATGAAAACACGCAAACCTGTGCTCACCCAAGTCAGACAATGCGCATTCTGACCATGCACACAGGCATCATTTTAAGGAGAATATCTATGCACGCCCTGTGCTGTAAGCTTCAGCACGACTGCCGTTCGGCTTAGCTGCAAATCTTATTTATTATTTACATATTAAAGCTGCTGTGTTATTTACATTTTAAGTGCCTACTTACTGCTTTTCGGGCTGCACGACGGCAATCTTCCTCTTCCTTTGCACTGCACAGCGAGAGAGCGAGAACAACACAATTTTGGTAATGCAGGCTTGTAAACGTCTAACAGATCCTGTTCTTGGCGGGGAGGGGGGACTTCAAATCTGCAAGCAAGACCAGATTCGCCCCCCCCCCAGCACATAATAACTGCTTTGCTGGATCGAATTAGAAGTTCATTTGGTCCCCAAACATAGCCAAGTAGACCTGATGAAGAAGTTTACAAGCCCAGCCTGACCCTCCACAAACCTCCAAGGGTTTGGCACCCACATAGGTTCTGCCTCTGTACATGGAAGATCAATGCAGTGGTTACAACAAACAGCTGTCGATTTTATCCCCAAATCTCCCACTCTCCAAATCTCCCACTCTCCAGTTTCAGAGCCAGCCAAAAAATTATCATTTAAGAATTTTCACTTCAGATCTTAACATAATGCTATCAGTTTAGGTTACATCACACCCAACAAAGTTCACACAGCAAACCAGGTGTTATGTGGGCTGCAAATTAGGCTATATGCACACACCAAACTTTTAAAGTTTCCAAGCACAATTCAAAGTGTTGGTGCTGACCTTGAAAGCCCTAAATGGCCTCAGCCCAGTATACCTGAAGGAGCGTCTCCACCCCCATCGTTCAGCCCGGACACTGAGGTCCAGCGCCGAGGGCCTTCTGGCAGTTCCCTCGCTGCGAGAAGCCAAGTTACAGGGAACCTGGCAGAGGGCCTTCTCGGTAGTGGCACCCACCCTATGGAACGCCCTCCCATCAGATGTCAAGGCATTAAGCAACTATCTGGCTTTTAGAAGACATCCTTGTTTAGGGTAGTTTCTAATGTTTGATGTTTTGTTGCTTTATTATTAATATTCTGTTGGAAGCCACCCAGAGTGGCTGGGGAAACCCAGCCAGATAGACAGGCTTTAAATAATAAATTATTGTTATTATCATTATTATTACAGTAATACCTCCACGAACATCCACCTTGTCTAGCGTCCATTCCGGTGAACGTCCGTGGCAAACCCAGAAGTACCGGAATGGGTTACTTCTGCGTATGCCACTCACGCATGCGCAGAAACACTAAATTGCTTTTCAGCTAGCGACAGAACGGATCCCGGCCGCAAAACAAGGTACAACTGTATTATTATTATTATTATTATTAAAACATCTGGCTCCCACCTGAATCCTGGGTAATATAGTTTCCTAAGGGTGCTGGGAGTTGTAGCTGTTTGCATACGCAGCCCCAGTAACATGGACACCTCTTTGGCATAACTGCACTGACTGAGATATTAAATGCTGGCTTGCCTAACTGTGTGTGAAGCAAACAATTAGGCTTCAGCTTCATTAAGAAGCAGGCTGAAAGACTCTCCACAGGATCACTCATCTTGCTTTTACAGGATCTGTACTTTAATAATAATAATACGCCAACAATCTTATTACGCCGCTAGATTTTGCATGCTTGATTACCCCTGGTGTCTTTATTCACTTAATGTATTAATAGCAATGAAGGCTGTGTACTGCTGCCTCTGTTGTGTTCTCCCAAATTGGGGATAGCTCCTTGATTTTAAAAGCCGAATGTGTTTTGCTCTTCGTATTTTCCAACATGACCTGCAAATTTCTGTGGAAGGTTTGCCATTTGTTCCATTCTGTATTTTACATTCAGCAGGCAAGCTATGTCCCGTCCTGACCCACCAAACAGCAAACTAATAGAGCCCATAGTTCCTTCTCATTGTTTTCAACCACCTTATTCCCCAACAATTTATTTTAAAATACAGTTGTCAGCCTGCTCCCATGAGATGATTTTTTTCTTTACTCAAGGAGTAGGCGCCCTAGGGAAATGCAGCCCCACGGGGTCAAGCTAGGGTTGAGGTGAGAGATCCATCTTTGGGGCTGCTGGAGAACTGGGACCAAAGGGACAAATGTCCAGTCCTGCACATAGGCAGGGTGAACCAGTTGCACAAATATAGGATGGAGGGGCACCTGACTTACTAGCAGTACAGTAGTACCTTGGTTCTCAAATGCCTTGGTACTCAAACAACTTGGAACCCAAACTCTGCAAACCCAGAAGTAAGTGTTCCGGATTGCGAACTTTTTTCGAAAGCTGAACGTGCTCCGTTTTGAGTGCCACGCTTCCAATTTGAGTGTTATACTTCCGATTTGAATGTTATGCTTCCAATTTGAGCGCCACACTTCTATTTTGAGTGCCACGCTGAGGGGTCTGTTTTTGCTATCTATTTTGTGTTTTTGCGGCTCTTTTTGTTTTGTTTTTGTGATTGTGTGGAACCCAGTTCAGCTACTGATTGATTGATTGTGTGACTGCAGTACATTGTTTCTTGCTTTCATTTTATGGATCAATGGTCTTGTTAGAGAGTAAATTTCATGTTAAATTGCTGTTTTAGGGGTTGTTTTTAAAAGTCTGGAACGGATCAATCCGTTTTGCATTACTTTTTATGGGAAAGCGCACCTTGGTTTTGGAATGCTTTGGTTTTGGAACAGACTTCCAGAAGGGATTAAATTTGAGAACCAAGGTACCACTGTATATGTGAAAAGGATACTGGGGTCTTGGTGGACCACAAGCTTAACATGAGTCAACAGGGTGATGCAGCAGCAAAAAAAAGCTAATGCTATTCTAGGCTGCATCAACAGAAGTGGGTTTTGCTGTGCCAGGTTCCCAATCAACTATAATCGCACAATTTGCGAGGGTGTGACTGCATCCCTCTCGAAAGCAGCGACAGCCCGGAAGCTCCCTGAATCTCTTCGCCTTCTGCCAACTAAGGCCTAGCTGCTGAAACAACACAGTAAAGGTTAACAGCCCAAATTTTGCTCTTTCGTGTACTTACACACGGCTTTATGCGGCGTCGAGAGCTTGTAAGCATTCGCTTCACACCAGCCAACTGGGAATATGTTCATCGACTCCACATCGACGATGTATTCTGAAGCAGGCACCTGTGAACCTATAAAAGCAAATTTATTATGCCATTTGAAAGCCAGGAAGGCGGCAGCAGAAGTCGTCTCCTCCATCTCAAAAGGGCCAGACATGCAGCAAGGAATAATCTCTCTGTTCCAAAATATCCTTTCATCATATGAGGCCCTAAAGATAAACAAGGCTGCTGCATTTAAAAAATTCTGATATATATATATATATATATATAGAGAGAGAGAGAGAGAGAGAGAGAGAGAGAGTGAGAGAGAAAGTGCTAGCACAACAGCATTCAGGTTACATATACAGATGCCAACATCACAATACCGTATTTTTCTGTGTATAAGACGAGCTTTTTTGACCCAAAAATGAGGTTCAAAATTTAGGCTCATCTTATACACAGGTAGTGCCGAGGGGGGACGTGTGAATGGTTTTTTGGCGCGAGCCTGAGATTGTAAGCGGCGATTGGCTGCTTAATTGTTGGGGGGGGGGTGTACCTAAAACCGCTCACCCACCAGAACGCAGCACACAACCGGCCGCGTCACTTACAATTGCCACTTACAATTTTGGGCTTGAACTTCGTTCCGACAGCTGAGCGATTTTAGGCATCTCCCCCCTCCCCAACAATCAAGCGGCCAATAGCCGCTTACAATCTCAGGCCCAACCTGGAAACAATTCAGCTGAAAATAACGCTGCTAAGGTGGTGGTGGGGGTTTGGTGGGGAGGAGGAGACAAGGCAGGACAAGGAGGTGCAATGAACCCAGGTAAGAGATCAGCTCTGCGGCAAACATAGTTTCTGCGCCACCAGTCAAGTCAGACAAAATGGCAGCTTCTTCTCCTTTAACGGCAACTAGGAAAAATACCCCCTAACTTGGCACAGTGGGGTGTGTGCTGACTCCTTCCTCCCCAGCTGAGATCTCCCCACCACAATTAAGATTAAACAAAGCCTTCTTTTCTTCTCTGCAAGTGAGTATCTTGCAGGTATTCTTTATCCAAAGTAAAATATCCCAGAAGTATACATTGCACAACAGTTGACAGAAGGCTTCCTCGTGCTTCTTCCTTCAAGCCCAATTTCTACAGAATCCCGTAGGCACCAGTGAAGGCCTCTAAGGGCGCATGGGTGCCCATGGGCGCTCTGTTGCCGACCCACGCCCTAAGCCTATAAGGCCGCCGCCGCGCATTGAAAACTACAAAATATACCATATTTTTTGCTCCATAAGACGCACCTGACCATAAGTCGTACCTCGTTTTTGGAGGAGGATCTGATGGTGAATTTGGGGTGACCCAATGCAAAAATCCTGAGAATCCATGGGGATCCGTGCTTTGTAACCACATTTTTGCACCATTGCAGCCCCAAGAAACAGTGGATGCATGATTTTCTTGGTGCAGGCTGTAGCCATGGACATGCTACGTGATCTGATGGTGAATTTGGGGTGTATGTAAAAATCCTGAGGATCCATGGGCTTTTACCTCCCCCCTCCCAGGCAGCCTCCGCTAGCGTCTGTTATCTCTCTTCCGATCCCACTGATCAGCTGTTTCCTTTCAACACCCCCTTCCCTCTTGTTTGCCTTAGTGTCTTTTCCTTAGCTGGAGCAGTTTTTTGCTCCTCCTCCTCTTCTAATTTCTCTCCTTACTGCTTTAGTCTTCCTGTTTCCCCCCTTTGTAAGTTTGCTGTCTTTACCTCCCCCCTCCCAGGCAGCCTCCTTTATCTCTAGCGTCCCTTATCTCTTTCCCCGATTGGCAAACAATCAGTAGCTTTGTTGCAACACCCACTTCCCTCTTTCAAAATCTGCTTTTTGCCCCTGGGCAATTTGGCTCCAGGGACCAGGCATTCACTCCATAAGACACACAGACATTTCCCCTTACTTTTTAGAAGAAAGAAGTGCGTCTTATGGAGCAAAAAATACGGTAATAGATAATCTCACTTACCTTCCAAGCGGAGCCACATTAACCTCCCTTTTACTGAGATGACGGAAGCCACACAGATTTCAGCCTGGTTCTTGGGGTTCACGGCCTCCAGCTTCATGTTTTTCGTAAAGCCTCGGCTGAAGGATACCTGAAAGAGGCAGCCACATAGCCTTAGTTTTGTACCCTTTGGCCCTTGTGCAGATAGCAGCGCTTTGTCTAGTTTTCAGGACATTGACGGTGGCTTAAGAGAGGGCTGGATGCTCATCTTGAATACAGTGGTACCTCGGGTTACATACGCTTCAGGTTACAGATGCTTCAGGTTACAGACTCTGCTAACCCAGAAATATTACCTCGGGTAATATTTGAACTTTGCTTCAGGATGAGAACAGAAATCGTGCTCTGGTGGCGCGGCGGCGGCAGGAGGCCCGATTAGCTAAAGTGGTACCTCAGGTTAAGAACAGTTTCAGGTTAAGAACAGACCTCCGGAACGAATTAAGTTCTTAACCTGAGGTACCACTGTATGTCCAATCCCCTAACACTTCTGGTTCAACAGGTGTCCAATGTTTTTGGTGAAAACTGCGAGAACTGTAATTACAAATAACTAACCGAATGATTGAGATGTGTCAACGCTTCCAAGCACGAAATTTAAGTTTGATCTGAGATGCTGGCCTTTGCCATACAATCACTTGGCCTTTGTCACCCATGTACTATTTCCTCAGCTGAACAAATGACGGAAATTAGCACAATCCTCAAGTTGTTTTGTGGCGCTCATTTGATAGATATTGAGATTTACCTCGGATGGAGGGCGGGGGGGAGAGAGAATGGATTAAAAAATATTGATTCTGGACCACTGAAAGTGCACCAGTTCCTACTGCCTTCAGGCTAAGCAAAGCCATTAAATGTTGAGGGTCTGCAATCTGAACTTCGTTAATAAGACATTCATAAATCACCATCGTGCAAGGCCGCTTAAAAGAGTGCAGAGATTAATGGGGACTGATTTGACGAGGATCTCATGTGGCTTGCTAAAGGGAAAATTGAAGAGGGCCAAGTTAGTCCCAAAACTGTGTCTAAATAAATAATATATATATAAATTATACCCACACGCCTGCCATAGTTGCCTTCATGCGATGGCTGTTACCAGAAGAACTTTAAGGGGAATTCCTGACCTTTTGAGCACCAGACATTTAAAACACTATTGCACCACTTTAAATAGTAATAATAATAATAATAATAATAATAATAAGAATAATAATAATAATAATTTATTTATACCCCGCCCATCTGGCTGAGTTTCCCCGCAAAGAATCCTGGGAAGTGTAGTTTCCCCCCTCCCATTTAAGGTGCTGAGTGTTGCTGGGAGGTCCCTATTTCCCTCATAGAGCGCCAAATCCTCATGGGCAAAATGAGACAGGTGAACATCATTGGTTTATCAACCAATCGATCCCTCTTCCCAGGGAACTCTGGGAACTGAAATTCTGTGAGGGGAACAGGGGTCTCCTAGCAATTCTTAGCACCATTAAAGTTTTGAAGGGGTTTTTTTTGGGGGGGGGGTTGCTAAGCCCCAATGCCAACAGCTTTGAGGCTTCCTTGGACTGCAAAGGTATTCGATATCTTAGCTCTACGCTCAATAACAGTTCTGATATAATAGAACAAAGTGTTCACTGAGGAGCTGTTAAGCATTATGTTATAGCACTATGGGTTTTTATTTAGGCTGTTAATTTTCCATGAATCATTTTGAGCAGAAATGTATTCGTGGAAAGTGTGGTATATATAAATAAACTGACGGTGACTAAGTGAGCAGCTGAATATTCTTTTAAAAAGGACATGCACTGATGTGGATGGAATAATCTGACCACTTTGGTTCCACTAAGTTTCTCACTTGTTCCAAGTATCAAGTTCATTTTGCCCCGTTTCTTCACCGGTTTGAAAAAGTTTTACAAAACAAACACACCGGTACAAAAGTTCACATGCATTTTGACCTTTCATATTTTGTCAAATAATGGCCAGTTGTTTTAAAACAAATCAGTTACCTTATCGCCTTGCAACATTTCTATGATGGCTTAGAAAGCAAAGCTACACTGTGATTTTATATTTGACAAAGCTACAGGTTTCTCTTGACGCAAACACTTCCTACAAGCCATTTCCCCTATTATAATGCGTTTTTCCATGTTAGTTTGCCCTAATACGCATTTCTGTGACCATTCTTTGGTTGGCGAACAGCATCACAAAATTATAAGAAGCGAAAATGTGGTCTGGGAAGTACAATTGAGGTGGGTGCTCACTGAAAGATGAACGGACTCAAATTTCTCTCCCACAATCTTACTGTAAGAAACAGAAAGGAAGGAGCTTCTCAAGAACGGGCAGAGATAATGCAGCCCAGCTTTACAGGACAGGAAAACTCAAGCTACGGGTGGCAAGGGAAGCAAGGAGTGAGAAAAAGAGCTTTTTTTAACCCTCAAATAAGAGAGAGGGAAATGATTATAGAATCCTAACAGCTGACCAAGAGAAGGCAGAACCTGAAGCTCATTGGTGAAGCACCAGCCAATCATGTAGAACAGGCACCCCCAAACTCAGCCCTCCAGCTGTTCTGGGACTACAATTCCCATCATCCCTGACTACTGGTCCTGTTAGTTAGGGATGATAGGAGTTGTAGTCCCAAAACAGCTGGAGGGCCGAGTTTGGGGATGCCAGATGTAGAAGCTCCCTGTTTCAATCCCTGACACCTGCAAGTGGGACTGGGGATGCCCCCTACCCGAAGCCCAGGAGAGTGGCTGCCAGTCCGTGTAGACAGCACTGACCTGGATGGACCAGGAATAAGGAAGGTGCCTATGTTTCCCACTCTGCTCCTATTTTTCCTCCAACTCCTCCTCGAAGGGGAACTCTATGCAACTCCACCCAGTTCTGGGTTTCATCCACCAAGTTTCCAGTTGAAAAGGATGCTGGGAAGGAGGATCAGCAATGGTTCGTCTCTGCCTGGAGCTGTCCTTCAGAGTAGACGACACCAGGGCAATGGAGTCCAATGGACCAACTCGGTGTCAGGCAGTTTCCTGCACTCGGTGAAACAAAACTTCCCAATGCTCCCTAGCAGGGGTAACCAATGTAGTGGCCTGCAGATGTTGCTTGGGACTACATCTCCCATCATCCTTTTGGGCAGGGGCCATTCTAGCTAGGGTTTATGGGAATTGGACTCCGGCAGAATCTAGGGAGAGCCAGTGTGGTGTAGTGGTTAAGAGTGTTGAATGGTTTCTTTAAATGTAAAGGTTCATCATTGTTCCACTCGATGTGTATGTCTTTAAGGGGCCAGAGCAAAATAACGAGACCCAGCTTTACAGCTGTGAAACATAGCAGGTGCTGCTGAGTTCTATTGATTAAGCTGTGTCAGCAATTGGGTGTAGTATATAAGGAGCAGCACCTAGCTCTCCCATTACCCTGGGGGATGGGTTGGTGGTTGGGTCTGGTTTGTTGTTGATGTATTTAGTGTATAAGGAGTTTTTGTTTTTGTAATTAAAACCTTGTGTAAGTTATTTTTGAGTCCCTTTTTAATGCATGGTCTCCCCAGCAAGCTCTCTGCAGCGCTACCAAACTGCAAAAAGCCAACAAAGAGCGGTGGACTCGTAATCTGGTGAGCCGGGTTCGCTTCCCCGCTCCTCCACATGCAGCTGCTGGGTGACCTTGGGCCAGTCACACCTCTCTGAAGTCTCTCAGCCTCACTCACCTCACAGAGTGTTTGTTGTGGGGGAGGAAGGGAAAGGAGAATGTTAGCCGCTTTGAGACTCCTTAGCGTAGTGATAAAGCGGGATATCAAATCCAAACTCTTCTTCTTCTTCTAGGGAGCATCACTTTGGTGGACCCCAGCCTCTGGGCTGCTTCCGGCCTCCCTATTTTGTCCACTGCATACATTTTCCCACCAGGCCAGAGGCTCAAATACCCAGGCAGGGATGCTATGTTGTTGTTGGGTTGTTGTTATTTTTAAAAAGATAAATGATGCATTTCCTTCTCCCACTCCACCCCCATTGTTTAAGCAGTCCCTGCTGCGTAGTTCGTGGTGCTGAAAGGCAGAAGCTAAGAACCAGCAAACGAGGAGGCCAGTGTGGAATTAGTAGATATAAAAGAAACGCAGTCTGAAGACTGCGTTTTTCTAAGTCTGAATGCACAGCTTGCGTTCATCAATATCGTATGGGTCTTTAATCATATTTATGCTTCATCTTAGGGACACGGGTGGTGCTGTGGGTTAAACCACAGAGCCTAGGACTTGCAGATCAGAAGGTCGGTGGTTCGAATTCCCGCGACGGGGTAAGCTCCCGTTGTTTGGTCCCTGCTCCTGCCAACCTAGCAGTTCGAAAGCACATCAAAGTGCAAGTAGATAAATAGGTACTGCTCTGGCATTTCTGTGCGCTGCTCTGGTTCGCCAGAAGCGGCTTAGTCATGCTGACCACATGACCCGGAAGCTGTATGCCAGCTCCCTCGGCCAATAAAGCAAGATGAGCTCCGCAACCCCAGAGTCGGCCACGACTGGACCTAATGGTCAGGGGTCCCTTTACCTTTACTATGCTTCATCTTTCCTCCAAGGAGCTCAATGAGGCATTGATGGTTCTCTTCCCATTTTATCGTCCCACAATAACCCTGTGAGGTAGGTTAGGCTGAGAGACTGGGACTGGGGCCTGGCAGGTTTCATGGATGAGCAGCGATTCGAATCCTGGTCTCCCAGCTCCTAGACCAACACTCTAACCACTACACCACAGTGGCTCTCACTAGATTTGGACACATGGGTTGCCTATATCAATTTACATATCGATGGGATATTTGCATTAGTGTCAGAAGATGAAGTTTCCCCTCTTTGTTACGTTTGCAGCCAGGCAAAAAAATAAATAAAAATCTGTCTCAATTAAATCAATAAACCTTTTTTAGAAAAGGAAAACGGTATCTTACATTTCTGAAGCAGAACTGGGGAGCCGCTTCAGTTCCACATTGCTTCTGGTAATCTGCCCAGTCGAAGTCCTGGCTAGAATAACCTGCAAGACAATGCATAAGAATATAAGCAGGGCTTTGTTTTTCAGCCTCAACTCGCCAGAACTCAGTTCAGGCACCTCTCAGGTGGGCGCCTTTGCCGTTATAACAAAACAGAGGTGAGTTCATGGTGAGTTCTGG